CTGTCCAGTCGGTTCCGACTCATACGGACCCTGTGACCAGCAGAACAAATCACTGATGAGTCTTTGCCATCCTCTCAGTTGTTGTTATACCACAGCCCGTTGTCCCAGCCACCGTGTCACTCCATCTCATTGAGAAGCTTCCTCTTTTTCCCAGCCCCTCTGCTGTACCAACTGGGGCTGGGTTGCTCCTGATGAGGGAGTCTGAGAAGCCTCTGTACATTCAGGTGACAATTCCAAATGGAAGATTACAAACCCCCAGAGAGGGCTTTTGTTGTGGCTGTTTTCTATTTTAAGCCAGTAGTGGAATCCGTTTCAGTGGGTCCCTGAGAAACTCTACCACAAGAAGCTTTTGTCACTTAAGTTGGGTATGGTTGAAGGTAATAAACTTTGGTAACAGGTACAGGGCACTTAAATCTCCCATCAAGTATGGATGTGGTTTCAGAACCCCTTACCACACACCACTCTGGATAGCACCTCGTTGTCCATTGATTTGAGGGGGAAATAGGTACTACAAGTGTACTCAGTAAATACAGTTTTTGGTATGGTTAGGGAGTTAGGGTTTTCTTTAAAATACTAATATCTTAAAGTAGCCCAGCTACCAAACCCTCATACAGAAAATGTATATGCATCAGTTACATTCTATCTGGTGGGTTCATAAAGAAGTTATTAGTCTATTTTCTATACATCAGGAGTCAGAGGGTTCTGCGCTCTCTGTCATTAAGGATGCTGAAATGTGTTCATTCAAGGAGAAATATGCCTGATTCTTTATAATGGTGATAAAAGTGAAGTATAGTATAAAATCTTCAGTGCTGTCCTCTTTAGGGAATTCTTCTGCAGGGAGTGGGGAATGTCCATGTAGTTGGGATTGGGACAAGCCCCTCAGACCTCATAGCACTGAAGCTACTGCTCAGGGAGAGGGGCATCTCTGATCTGAGTACACAGGAGCAAATGAAGGGGTAGGAATAGAGAGTAGAACACATCCTGGCCCACCAAGGCCTGAGGACAATATTCCTGCTCAGAGCAGCCAATGCAAAGAGAGGATCATAGGGCCGGCCCCACTATGAGACATGACATCTCTCACTGACCCATAGCACTACTGGGGACAGCAGTGGAGACACAGTGCAGAAATTGCGCCAAATCTGACGCCACCACACCAAGGCAGAAACTCTAAGATATGCAACAGAACAGCAAGGGGAACAGAATAATGAAGTGTCTGGGGGCTACCAAAAATAGACTTTGGGGCCAGGGTGTGGCACCCCATCAGACTCAACTGGAAAAGCACTCCTAACGGTCAACAAATGGACCTTAAACTACTTACAGGCTTTTCTTTTTTTTGTCTTTGTTTTGTTGTTAGTTTTTT